GTGGCGGTTTACTAAGCTGAGTGCATTGATACACCTATAAGTTTTTAAGGTAGAGAAGGGGGCTTATGGTCGGTATACAGGTACACTGGCTGGGTAACGGTGGGTGCGTCTTCCAGGAAAGGGGAGCATCTGCACCCGATGCACCCGACTACAACTTTTTTTTCTTCGAGTGCAGTTGGGAAGTAAATATGTGGAGCGGTAACCGAAAAATCGCGGATGTGGCATTCGCACTAAGAGTGCCGCGCGGCGACAGAGCTGTATAATTAACGCGGTAGATGACGTCGGCGCTGCTTTCGTATTTTCTTTTCATAGAACAACGACGGGCACAATATTTTCCCACTTCTAGTATAATGTTCCAAATGAACATATCACACGACAGTGCTAGTAAAGACAATAGCCTTTCAAGTCTGACGAAAAAAAAACGGAATAAAACGGTGATCGTTTGCTTGCGCTAACAGTGTTCGCGCGATGCACGCACTAATATTCTGCCAACCACTCGCTCGTGATGCTTCTCTCGCTGCCCGTCGTTATAACAAAGTTTCGTCAACGCGATGAAAGTTTAGATTATGGGTGTCCCTGCGGCGAAACTGAAAATCAGCACTTTTGGCAGAACACTTGTCGGCCATGTTTATGTCCACGGCGGCCAAGCTGAGAATCAGCACTTCTGGCCAAACACTCGCCGGCCGTGTTTATGTTTCCGGCGGCCAAGGTGGAAATCAGCACAGGTGGACAAACACTTGCCGGCCGTGTTTATGTCTCCAGCGGCCAAGCTGAAAATCAGCACTGCTGTCCAAACACTCGCCGGCCGTGTTTATGTTTCCGGCGGCCAAGCTGAAAACCAGCACTACTGGCCAAACACTTGCCGGCCGTGTTTATGTCTCCGGCGGCCAAGCTGAAAATCAGCACTTGTGGCCAAACTCTTGCCGGGCGTGTCTATGTCCCCGGCGGCCAAGCTCAAAATCACCACTGCTGGCCAAACACTTGCCGATCGTGTTTATGTCCCCGGCGGCCAAGCTGAAAATCACCACAGCTGGCCGAACACTTGCCGGCCGTGTTTATGTCTCCGGCGTCCAAGCTGAAAATGAGCACTTCTGGCCAGGCGCTTGCTGGCAGTGTTTATGTCTCCGGCGGACAAGCTAAAAACAACTAGTTTGTGGCCGGACTCTTGCCGGCCTTGTTTATGTCTCCGGTGGCCAAGCACTTAAAGTGGCCAAGCTGTCCAGACACTGGCCAACCGTCGGCCGATCGAAATTCACTTTCTGTTGCTGCTTGGGCAGGGTCCCGCCTCATAAGAGATGGGCACCTTAGCAGGGAGTTACTCTACAGCTTAAAATAGTTGTTTTCACAATTTGTTTATACAGGGCCCAATAGGACGCAACTGCCGGCGTTTGTTTCCCAGGGCTATTGTGACGGCGGCAGAATATCCACTTCCTTTTTTGGCGGGAGTGCCACCGGCCGCCCGTCTACGCAGCTTCGCGGCGACGCTCTGCGACGGCTCATTACAAGAATGTTAACCCACGCGTCCCCCCCTACATGCCATTTGCGGCGACGATTTGGGGTAATTTGTTACCAGAAAAAATAAAAAAAGCTAATCATATTTTGTAAAAAATCTGCTGATTAAACAGCGTGTCTATAAAACGATCTGTCAATGAAACGTCATTCGATGAACTGATTGCCACCGCCAATGAGAGGGTCTGTCAGGAGAATTTCGGGGAAAATATTTTTCCAGTTGCCGGGAGAACAGACAATGTGGCCTAGAATTACCCCGTACCTCCTTTCATTTCGCGGATCGCTTGCCCGTTTGTTCTGCTCTACGGAACATGCTGTGTGTAATAAACTTCTGGGAAATTCTAAGAGAATATTTTGTGTCTGTTTCGCTATCTGTTTACAAACTCATGTGGGAGTACTTTTTCTTTACGCGTTTCCTTCGTGTATTAAATAGGTTAATTCAGTTCGGGACGTTTTAAATAAGCTTGAGATAGCCGACCTTCCAGACAATACCCATCAGAGATAACGAATAATTCGCATGGGTGCCAGATGCTAGCTCGAGAACGATTCATTTCAGCAAGCCTTTGTCAGTGGAGGGATGCCGCGGCTAGGCTTCTGCTAGAGCAAGTGAGGCAGCACTGCCTTTCGTGGCTTGATGGCGTCTGTTCATTTGCATGTGCATGGTATATTCAGTTACACAGTTCAGAAAGGGGTAATGGTAGCCAGTCATCTTTGACTTCACGATGACTTTGTTGAGGCTGCGGAAGAACTTTTAGTTCATTGTGAGCCAAGCTCTTCAGAACATCGCGATGCCACAGAAACAAGTGAACTGATGTAGAGCCTTGGCCCATTCACAACGTGCTGCTTGGGAGTGTGCTTTACTAAGATTAATGTGGGTTTGAAAGCGTTGATCTTCGACCTTTGGATCTTTTCGTAGATGCCATCAGTGCGAAGCTAACAATTGAAGACGCGGCAGCTTAAAAATGGTGTTGAAGTGGCTGCCAGGGTCTTGCGACAGGGGAGGCCGCAGGAAGAGGCGTTCGGAAGCCGCAATGGCTCCCCAGCCCCAGAACTCGCCCCAGGACCCTGCACAGGACCTTCCCCAGGACCAGGCATAGGCTCCCCGCTGAGCTTCCTCCCTAGCCCTTTTCAATAAAAGTTCCGAAAAAAGCATTAATTGATCTTGAATTATTCATTTTCTCGCCAGATAAAATAGTGTATAGACAAAGCATAGGAGGACCTTGCCATTTGTGCCTAGAATGTTTTTTTTTGCCGTGGGCTGCTAATAGGAAACAGGGCAGGGGTTCTTAAAACCCAATGTTGGAATAACCAGGATTTAAACGCATTGCCATCATAGCATACCCAGCATTAAAGATATGGCATTAACATTGGGACATGCCAATGAATTAGCTTGACTGCCAATAACGGCCTATTCAATGAATAAACTTATACGCCAATGATGGCATAGCCATTGAATTACTGTGAAAGCCAAAATTGGCATAGCCAATGACATAGTGTGGATGCCAACCAAGGCTGAAATATTGGTTTAACGATGGCCTAACAAAGGTGCCAATTATGGCTGGAAAGTTGTTAAAGAACGGACTTACATTGGTGCCAATGATGGCTGGAATATTGGTTGAACGTTGGGCCAACGTTGGCGCCAATGATGGCTGGAACATTGCTTGAACGATGGCCCAACGTTGGTGCCAATGATGGTTGGATCATTGGTTGAACGATGGCCCAACGTTGGTGCCAATGATGACTGGAAGGTTGGTTGAACGATGGTCACACTTTGGTGCCTATGATGGCTGGAACATTGGTTGAACGATGGCCCAACGTTGGTACCAATGGCTGGGCCAACATTGGAAGAAGTTGCGCTCGGCCAGGATACCAATGTTGGACCAACCTCCGGAGCCAGCGTTTGCCATTTTTGGCCCAATGTAGGTCCAACATTGGTGTGCTGCCTGGGTAAACTTCAATTTTCGTTTCAGTACCCCTTTAGAACGGCAAATGCATTGTTAATGCTGCCATAGGCACGTTCTCGCAGAAACCGCCATCTTAATTGTCGCAGGCGACTGCAGTCGCCCTCTGTTGAACTCAACGCGATTAACTGTGTCAGTCAGCCTTAAGTCTTCATGTATAATAAGTGGAGACATATTTTACATCGATGAAACTGCTGTAGCAATTGTGTCCTTTCCTCAAAATTACTTTATATATCTACCATGCTTATGTAAAAGTAAAAAAAAAATATAAGAGCAAAGTTGCTCAAAAAACTGTCCAGGTCCTACCAACATTTCAAGTTTCTGCTGGTAACATAATACCATCTTAGTGGGTAGATTCTTGAAAGTATCGATTTTCCACAGGCTTTTAGCTTGGTTGTATAGGTTTGGTAAAATCTATTGTGCAGCGCATTTTAATTTGTTTGTACGAAGAGTAGGGCTGGGCAATCGATCGATTAACCTTCCTATTAATCGATTAAGGCTTTAATCGCGATCAAATATTTTAACCGGTTAATCGGTTTTTTAATCGGTACTCAAAAGAAGTCCGTTTCCAGCTAGGTGCTATGAATAACTTTCAATTCTCGCGCTCGCGAAGCGTCACGTGTTCGAGGATATACATTACAGTTCTGCCGACGCGAGACGAACAAGCCGAGCCCGCAATTGATCCCCGCGCGACCGCGAAACTTCACGTATTGAGGACGTGAAGTTTCACGTTACACATCCTGCCCAGGCAAGACAAGCAATCAGAAAAAGAAGCTGCAAAGCCAACAACGCCATGGTTACTTGTTCCAGTATTCTGCACGTAAAAATGGACGAGTTCACGAGTATGAAAGGCAATCTCACTAAAAAGTATGAGTTTAGTAAACTCCAGCGGTGAACTTTTTTACTCGAAGGAAGTCCACTGCATCATCTGCAAAAAGCCGTTTTCGTACAGTGGAAGCGTAACTTCGCTTCAGTATCGCCTACGAGCGAAGCACCCATGTAGCTGCAGCAAGGACCATCCGCCAAAACGCAGACAACAATAAACGCCTTTTCCCCATCGAGGTTCCTTTTTTTGAAAAAAGGAGAAAGCATCGCATACGCCCTGACTTTTAGACTTCCTGTCGGAGAATGTGGACAAACTTCTTTGTCTTCGGAGCTGGAGCAAAAATATGTGAGTCTTTGAATCGTTGAGCTATATATCTATCCTCCAATATAAATGTCCTTTGCGCCGTGTAACAGAAAGTACTATAAGTCTTCAAAGGCAAGACGAGTTGTTGCAATCTTTTTAATATAATATTTATTAAAATTAACGCAACCGATTAATCGATTAATTAATCGATTAAAGGGTGGCGATTAATCGGGTTAAAAATTTTAATCGATTCCCAGCCCTAAATTGAAGAGGCAAATTCAATACTGTCCTGGAGAAGTGCATTTTACTGCCATTAAGGCAGTACTAAAAAGTACTGCCTCTTTTGTGGTCTTTTTATAATCTGTGTGCACTTAAATCTAATTTTCCTTACAGGCACCTTACAAAGAGCAGAGAAAAAGCTTACCAAGTGGGTATACAGATGTTCCATCGAGTCCTCGGAGATTTCCGGTGATCAGTTTCAATCTTTTATAGAAAGATGGGGGGAAATAATGAACTGTATTCTAATTGGCATGTATATATTACTACATAGACAATGCAGCACCGGTAGAAAGGAGAGCAGAGGCGACTCATCCCCGTCTGCAGATACCAGTACTACGTAAGCAATAAATAAAAATATTCATTGTGCTATTTTACTGAAGGGCTCTTTGCGATAATATTTGCCTTGCGTGTTTCCAACTAAACGCTAGGGAGTGAAGGGGGTTCTTGACATTCATGCCTCAAGGGTTTCTGTTACCCCCTGTCCCCCCGTCCCCTCCCCTCGAAAGGGCACAACCTTTAACATCTAAAATATTCCTCATCTTGGTTGCAAGCCATCGTTGGTTTAGTTTAACTCTAAGTGATTGTTTCTGTAACCAGAAAGGTGATGGCCATAGTCTGAAGCTTATTGATCAGTTTTGCTTGTGCCCAAGACCCGTAGACGCATCAGATGCTTCAACAGCCCAGCTGAGCTCTCTAGGTGAACAGTCTCACTGTCGAAATTGTTTCTGCTTTAAGATGTGCTCCTCTCATTTTGTTCGCTTTAAATCTTAGGGAGAGGCAACCGGAGATCGAAATATAGAGTTTACATCTGTTTCTTCTAAACAAGTGATGGGTGAACCAACTGTGACAACTGCATGAGATATGCTGCGCTGCGTAGTTACTTTAACAAACACTTAGACTAGGGGGTGAAAAAAGATAGAAAGAAAAGAATACAAAATACATGTGAAGGTGGAGACGAACTTTTAGATAGAAAAAAGGAAAAAGATAAGCAATTGTTATTCCGCACCTTCACATGTACGTCATCTTCTTTTCTGTCTGTTTTTTTACCTTCGAGTCTACGTGCTTGTTAATGTGCAACTACGGAGCGCAGCATACCTCAGGACCTCGCTTTAGAGTGATTTCAAAACTTTCTTTTATTTTTTCGCACCAAACAGCATGCTCACGAGGAAAGATGCTTGTTTTTATTTGTGGCTTTGCAGCATGGATACACTATATATATATACTTCACTTGTTCTCTGAAGTATGATTTAGGCTAGGCATTATACAAATCCACAACCTATATGACCTTCCAGTAATGGAAGTATAGGTAGTGCTTGTGCATTCAGTAAACAACTGTAATCATTAGTGTTGTGACAGGAATTGGGGGTGCCCAACTAGGACTTCTTGCTGCTAATGTCTCTTGTTATTCAGCCCCACAGGCCCCATTAAGCTCATGTTCAAGTGACGGTCCTAGTGATTCTGCTCCGGCATCGAAGCGGCAGTCACATCGGGTTGAAGAGCCTTCACAGATCCCGGCGACTGATGAAAGAGCGACCCGTGAGTCTTTATTCATTCTTAAACAGTTAAGGCCTACATAGGTTGAAGGCTGAGTCAGTTCTGTTATCTAGGTTATGTAAGAGGGGCTGGCTGTACTATCTTCTTCTTTGCTCTGGCTTAAATTTGCCAGAAAATGCAAACAGTAAGGTTGTGCTTCTTAGAAGATTGATGGACCAGCCTTTGCAAGTCATCAAGCGGGTGGTGTTCAAACAAAACCCGGAGTAAAGCTCACCCAAGTTATTGTGGACCTGGAGAAAAGCCTGCTGTGTTTTGCATCTACTTAGAAAAAAGCTCCCCTGCAATCTAAGTTTTTGTTTAACAATGGGGAGTTTATTTCGTTGAGTGCTGTTATCGAGTGCTCTAGTTGGCCATTTACAAGCATGCTTCAAGGCCTGCACTTGGCGCGGTATCAAGATTAGGTCTCCAAAAACAAGCTACTAAAACTCCTCACGGATGCGGAGACTACGAACATCTCGCAGCTGCTGCTAAAAAGCTGATCGCTATTGTATGATTCGCTAAACAGCCTATGAACTGCTGAAATTGCAATTTACTGCGCTTAATTTATGTGTATACTCCTTAATTTTGTTATTATATAAAAATATTTTATTTTATTTTTGTCACGAAACCCACGGCACCTATAAATATAGCTCTCTCTTCAAAAGATGCATAGAAAAACTGCATGCATGTAAAGGCTTCGAGACATTTTAGTTAAATCTATGCTTGATTTCTGCTGTTTGGACCACTTGACCATTCTCCACTGCGCTGTCCCAAAGCTCCATTGTGATGCGCTTGATACGAAAGTGACAAGAGACCATTTTTTTTGTATTAGCTGCTGCATTGTCGCACCACGCTTGGCAAGGGCTTTACTTTCTATATTTGCATGGGCAAAAGGCACCGAGCGTTGGCATCTCCCAAGGAAATATTGGCTTGTGTTTCAGGTGCCCAGCTGCAGACAGCAGAACCGTGAGGTGCAGCACGAGACTACACAGCTGAGGCTGGATGTCCAGCAGCTGTCGGACCAAATAGCAGTTCTAAAGGTGCCAATGGGGCAAGCTGCATCGATCCCGACGGCTGCGATTCTTTCACGGGAACTTCCGAGGCTGTCAGCCAGCAGCCTGAAGGAGCTAGAAGCAGCGGAGGCAGCCATTCACGACGAGACTGTAGCCACAGTCTTGGTATTAACAACCTCTTGATTCTCTCTATCCCTATCCTGTATTTCTATGCGCTGTTACACACTATCCTTGATTTTGAAATTGTACACCTACTGTACAATACTGACGAAGCGCCCACCCCTCTTTTAATGAAGAAATGGTTAAACTTGATATGGGTGCTTTATCTATCCAAGCGGTTAAAACCAAGATGGCAGCTACTGAGGCACAGTGAATGGGGGAAGAAAGCATTTTTTTAAATGACAAATGATTGGTCGACAGTACTCTACCATATTTACAGTACTAATCTACCATATTTACTTGCGTACTCAATGCACTCACATAATTAATGCAGCCCCAACTTGAGCTTCAAAAAGTTATGTTTTTTTTCTGTATGCATTTAACACATCCACAATATACGAAGGAAGCAACAGGATGCCACAGTGGTGCATGCGGAGTGCAGCAACAAGGCCGTAATATAAAAAGAAAGCCGCACAGAAGCCCGGAATCGCCAGGCCCCCAAAAAGAATGCAAGTGGAGGATGTGCTAACAAGGAGGAAAGCATGCGCAAATCTCGATGATTGTGAAGACAGGATGTCACGGCAACTATGAAAGCACACGCTTCGAGAGCATCGATCCTGTGCTTGTAATCGCCGAGAGCGACTGAGTGTGTTCCAGATTTCGGCATTGAGCCTGGTTTTCGATAATGTGCTTTGCACAACCAACGTATTCCGGATTGGAGATTGTGCACGGTTTTCACTAGCGCTACCAGCGCTGCAGTGGTTAGAGCCAAAGTTGTATCTACTGTAAAATTCCGAGTAAGCCCCCATTTCCTAACAAGTGCCCCCTACTAGCATTGAAATTTTCCCAATGGCCGTGGCCCGCGCGCGAGGAATTGTGGGAGAGGCTGTCCCTAGCCTGGCCGCTCTGCCTTGAGATGGCATTGCCTTGCCTCCCCTTAATCCTGTGTTTTTCGATTCCATTACCTATTTATCTATTCCAGTATATTTGTTATTGCTTCTAAGTGTTTCTATTTCTTCTGCGCGTGATACTTGTATATATATAGAGTGTTTGTGTCTATTTTGCCTTTTTCGACGGGAGTGCCGACAAACAACACGCCGCTTCGGGCGTAGTCCCCGGGTGAGTACTACCGTTGCTACCGATTCCTATTGCGCTGTTAGCTGCTCATTTTGGTTCATTTGGCCCGCGTGCGGTCGAGAGGAGACGTTTATGAACACCCGAGCCTGTCATAGGGGCAGGCAGAGCTCTAAATCGGCAATCGCGACGCTCGAGAAGAAAGCGCTGTGGTTTGGCCGCCCGCGCTCGCTCCATTGACTCGCACTGTAGCGTATGCCTTCGAGTTCCGCTTACTTAACCAAGATACTGCGCGCCGCTTTGTCGCCGCGAATAATTTGTCCGTATGTTTGCTTAGCTCAGGCATATGCAATGCTCCGGATCCTGACAACTGCGCGCTGCGACGCAATCCCTTTGAAACGCCGACGGCTCAATGTCGCGGCCTCAATGCGCCTATGGCATGCCTTCGTAATCTAACTGCTAAGCTGCTGTCAGTTTCCAACGCCCTTTTTCAAGTGCAGAGATGTGTTGCCGCGAATCGTTTGTCCGAATGCCTGCGAAGCTGTAACACCAATCGGCATTTCGGTCAAGACAACTGCACGCAGATGTCTTGACCCAAATGCTTCGCTGGACGCTGTCTTTTGGAGAGCGGTGCCAGGCACCATGCCGTGCGCTGACAGTATTGTTTACACAGCCTGGCACACAGCAAACTGTGCCACCGGGCATGTTGCTGCTGAGGGTGACCGAAAGAAATAAAATACCTTAAGCTGACATCTTGTTTGGAAAAATAAAATTATGGAAGGAACTACGAGTTTTAAGATAACTACCTGGGTAACAGCACATTTCTGCACTTAAAAAAGGGTGTTTGCAACTGACAACCGCTTAACAGATAGATTAAGAAGGCATACTATAAGCGCATACAAGCTGCGACTCTGGGCCACCGGCGCTTGCGAAGGGCTCGCGTCCCTGAACGCAGTTTTCAGGCGCCGCAGCGTTGCATACGCCTCAGCTTCGCAAACATTCGGACAAATGGTTCGCGGCGACAAAGCGGCGCGTAGTATCTTGGTTAAGTAAGCGAAACTCGAAGGCATACGCTACAGTGCGAATGAATGGAGCGAGCGCGGGCAGCCAAACCAAGCGCACTCTTCTCGAGCGTCGCGATTGTCGATTTAGAGCTCTGCCTACCCCTATGACAGGCTCGGGTGTTCATAAACGGCTCCTCTCGACCGCACGCGGGTCAAATGAACCAAAATGAACAGCTAACAGCGCAATAGGAATCGGTAGCAACGGTAGTACTCACCCGGGGACGACGCCCGAAGCGGTGTGTTGTTTGTCGGCACTCCCGTCGAAAAAGGCAAAATAGACACAAATACTCTATATATATACAAGTATCACGCGCAGAAGAAAATAAAAACACTTAGAAGCAATAACAAATATACTGGAATAGATAAAATAGATAATGGAATCGAAAAACACAGGATTAAGGGGAGACAAGGCAATGCCATCTCAAGGCAGAGCGGCCCCCAGGCGAGGGACAGCCTCTCCCCACAATTCCTCGCGCGCGGGCCGGGGCGCTTGGGAGAATTGCAAATCGTCTAATCGGAATTTGTGTTTTCAGACACATACTTCGTTTGCTTTCCGCAGCCAGAAACATGCGCATGCTGGCCTGTGGAAATTGCGTGCTGGGGTATGGATTTGAAGACATTGCAAAGGTGTATGATTCATGTACTAATTTTAGTTTCTTTTATCATATTTCATGTTTTGCAGAAGGAGCAGCTTCTCAGAATTGGAGGAGGACCCTGCTGGAAACTACAGCCAACATCATGAAAGATTTAATGGGCCACTCTGTTAAAGTGCTATTTTCTCTTTACGGGCGCAAAGGAAAGAGGCCATTTGGCGGCATGCAACTGTGCAGAGTGGCAACAGGTGATATATTATCTCTAAATCATGATCTGCAAACTTAATTCATCATTTACTGCTAGTGGCAGGCAGTCTGCTTTGCTATAGTCATTACAGCTTGAGTATTCGGTGACATAGTAGATTCGAAGCATTATGTAGCTGTTTTGAGTGTCTCAATCTTGTATAAAAAAAAAATAGTTCGCTATGGCACAAACTCTTTTTTTTCCAGGATAAGGGCTTAGTTGGAAGACTATCTTTTTTATTAAAATGGTCACTGTCACGTCATACTTTGCATATTATGTGCTAACCTCTTCTTGGATACGTTGCAGGCATTATACAAAAGACATGTCCTGGTGACTCGCGCACTAGCTCATACATTGCACTTTGTGCGCTATTTCTCAGTATAGTAAAGATTCTTACTGCTATTTACAATTTGGTCACTGGGCGAGCAATATTAATGTGATGGCACCACAAATGGCCATATATCTCGATGTCAGTGAGCTGCTTTGAAGGATAAACAGGACCCATTTCATGCCAACTCGTTCTGCATGTGGAAGAAGGTTGCTTTGATAACATGATTTAAGTAAGATAACTTCAATAACTACAGACAGCAGAGAAGCAACCAAGATCCAGTCGGGTGACATCGGAAGTTTATTTGAGCCTATCACGCAGCGTACCACTCCAATGGTGATAACCACAGTATATTCACATTGTCCCAGTGATGCCGCCACAATTTTTAGACAACTTGAATCAGGGTCTAGTTGAAAATGAAGAGGAGCAGATCTCGTCCTGCATATACCTCCCGGCGGCTACTAAGCCTAGCATGCACATTGAATAATTCAAAGGCAATGC